CCACCTCCCCCCCCCCCCCCCCCCCCCCCCGAAGTTTGGCAACACTCTACTAAAACGTTCTGGCTACTACCACCTGAGGACACAAGTCAGTCTTCCCAATCTTACATTTGAGGCTTTCTCCTAAGAGAGAGAGGGAGTCAGATCTTAAGGAAGATACTGTATCTTGTAAAATCAGGTATCTACCACAAGACAATCCAGTTTTTATTTTCTATCTATACCTGAAACACCTCAACAGTATGAAAAATTTGTTCTTATTTTCCCTGTAACTGTAACAGCTCCTGGCAAGTCAAAGTATTTTCCACACAATGACCAATAGAGCTTGAAATTCTTTTTTCAAACAACTATCTCCTTTTACTCATTGTATATTCTACTTCAATTCCTGTACAGGTAAATCAAAAAAACTTAAACACTTGCATTTATTTAAAAGAAATAAATCATATTTTTCATTTTCATGACCTACAGGGCAGTTGGTAAATCCGATATTTAACTGTTTGAAGTTACACTGTAATTACAGGAATAGCAGGGGGAAGCATGTTAGCATTTAAGGTTACTTTTCCCACTTCATCAGACAGGCTACTCTGTAAGCGAGATTTTACTAACCAGAGTAACAGCAGTTAAAAGTAACTTTAAAGCACAGTTATATTTGTTACGGGCGGGGGGTAATAAATTGTTGTAACAACACTTGTAATTTAGCTTTATTCATAGCAAAATCTAAAGTTTAACACATCAACCTCTAGAAGCAGCACTCACACTCTGTGAACATGAGTAACCCATGTTAGAAAAAAGTTAGATAAAACTTAAATTAGACCAAAGTTTTATCTTTCACCCACTAGCTACCAACTTAAAAGGAGTAGCTAAAAAAAATATTAAATCATACTCAATTTAAAATCAGGTGAGAAGTAGATCATATTAACAAAAGCAATCATGTACTGAAATCAAAATTTTCCTTTCAATTTTGCAATCAATTAATTTCCTAATTAACTTACCTTAAATCCAATCATCCTGTTTGCCAAATATTTTACTTCCAAAAATCAATAATATTTAACAAAACTAAGACAAAATGCATGTTCAGAAGTTTTCTAAACAAAACTTTCAACAAAGTTACACTAAATTTACAACATACATTTCCAAAGACTCAGTTGACACTGAATATACAATCTTTCCTTCCTTTTCTGAGACTCAACATGCTACACAGATCTTCAAGTCAAGAAAAAATAATCATGCTAGAAGTATCTGATTTAAAAATATTTCTTACTTTATTGTTCATAAATGCTTTGAGGCACTGGATAAGTTTATGTTGATTCTTCTTATCAATACCTTCTTGCCTTAAAAGGGAGGAGGAAAATAACATAAGTACGAACAATCCACAAACTCCGCACCCCCTCCCTTCAAACGATCCGCGTTCTTACTGTTTCTTGTCCAGAAGCTTTTCCAATACATCCAACAGAAGTCCAAGACCTTCATGTCCAAAATTGTTAACCCAGCTGGAAGAAGGAAGAAAAATGCTTTTAGTTATTTCTTAATCAAATATAAAACTTGCACAGCTATGTCTCCAACGCTGCTTGTACACCTCTTCGTAGACACTGCTTTAAGTGTCACTTCCCAGGATCAACCATTAAGGCAAATGCTTAGTTCCTACAACTAGAAGTTGTTGAGAACCACTGTGAAAGGTGAGGAGATATTGCAGACAGTTGCAGACATTTCACTTATACTTCTCTAGTGTGTTGAGAACTACTTCCTCCTGCCAACAAGTATTAGCATAATTACTCTGGTTTCAGAAAAAAAAACCAACCAATCAACCAACCCCCACAGCTCTTTATTGCTAAGGAAAAACAGCATGATGAAAACTACAGCAGAAACTATTACTTACCTGACTGGATTGCTAGTGAGAGACACTCTCAACGACTCTAGACAATTAAGAAGCTTCTCCTCTGAAATTCCAGATCGCAGTTCGTGAATATATTCTTGCGAGGACAGTGTGCATTCATGCTTGCTGTTTTTCAGCCCACCCTATCACAGAAGACAGAATGCTGCTTAATGTTACATTGATCATAGTAGCACTTAGAGGATTACATGCAAGGCCAATATTTCCACTTGAGTTTTAAAATCATCGTCTTCCCTGTACGACTATTAAAGACACCTGATTTGACTTTGATTTGTCGTGTTTAATAGTTTAGGTTTTGCATCACAAGGGTAAATATTTTTCTAGAATCTTCTTGTCTTCTCTGAATAAAGTACATGTATTACATTTTCAATATAAAAATTTAATTCCATCATTCAGTGTATTAACATGTTTACCTGCTATACACTGTTATTTAACACCTACTTCACAGCACTGTGGTAGGAACCACCATAACGGAGAGACATAAAACACCCCACATGTGTTATTAAGCTTGTTTGAACATGCTCCCTGTACCTGTCTTCTGTTTTAAAAAAGCTCTGCATTATCACTATGGACATATCCTGACTCTCAAATTAATTCTCTCTTCTCCAAAAGAAAGGAAGATAAGCCACTGAAAATTACTTTCAAAAGGAGCTGGTATCCACCAACTGTTTAAATCAGTGTTTTTAGAAGTCATGCAACTGCCTGACTCGATTATTCTTGCTGTAGCATAATTCCACATTTGGCCACTAATAGAGATGTCTAGAGGATCTTGTTTGCTACAAAAGAATCACATGGAAGATTTGGCAAAGAGTTCATCTCCCTACTGAAGTGTCATTACAGAAGAATAACTGCCTACATAGTACTTCAGTATGAAAATACATGATAATCAGTTTTTAGTATTTTAACTAGTTTTTAGTTTTTAGAGTGGTTATGATTAATATGCAGTTCCTAAAGCTCTTTACCTTTAAATGGTCTATTGAAGAGAACCTGATAATGATGAGTCATGGGTGTAAAGGCAGTATGAAGAGTGACTGACCTAGAATAGGATTTATATTTATTTGGTTTTAATTGTATCAGTAACTTCTCTGACTACTATAATCTTCTAATTGTCCGTCTTTCAAAAAGTTATACTTTTTATGAAGTTTCTGGCTTGCTCTATTAAAACTCTTACCATTTGTTTTCCAAAAATGGCACCAAGTACGGCAGATAACAAAATAATTTGTCTACTTTTATGACTATGACATACATACTTTCCAGTATTAATGCATATAACAGATCTATGTAAACTTTCACAATGTACTTGCAACTTGTTTGTCCTCACCTCAACAAGAAAAAAATCTGACAGAGATTGTGAATGCATAAAGTCAACAGTGTTCTCTGAAGTATGTGAGCTATGAAGATGTTTCTCCCTGAAATGCATAGCACCTTTAGCTGGGCAAAGCATGCCAGTTATACATTGAAGGACCAAGAAATACATAGCGATGAGTAAAGGAACTACAATCTGTCACTATCAACCTCCTAAACAAAGAGATGCTCTTCCACCAAAGGAAAAAGAAATAAATAGGTGAAAGTTATCTTTATAAGAGCAGAAGCATACTTGAAATCAGAGAAGTCTATTAGCACTACATATTAATAATAATACAGAAAAATCATCACTCAAAGACTGTAAGGTAAAGAACTAGAAAACAGGAACAGCATTATGCCATTCATTGCACTGGATGGAAACCAAAAAGATGATAGATGTAACTAATGTATACCATCTACACAAAACTGGATACAGTTGTTCTTATTTCAGACAACATCCATTCCCAAAACTCTAGAAGTGAAAGAAGAAAACATAAGCACTGCTGTAAGCCACAAAATCTATAGAGAGATGAGTTAATGGAAGCTTCAATTAAATGCCATTACATTTTAAGCAAGACCCTGAAAAGCTCTCTAGAACACAAGATGTGTCTTTCCAAACATATTATTTCCTGTGGTTAGACCTTCCACTGTAGTCTGCTGCAAATTCCAAAGGAGATATCTACTCAGATGAGGCATTTAAAGTCTTTGTTATGTTTTCTTTCACATTTAAACCAAGATGTGCTCTTGCTGCCTCCTCTTTCTATGCATTGACATTAGTGAGGTCCCTCTACTCTGTCTAGCCCCTTGTTTTCAGAAGGCCTATGACTCCCTCAAAAACAGTTAAAATAAATTAAGTTAGAAGAATTGGCAGCATCATCTCCCAAGCCTCCTTACTGTGCCTTACAGGACAGGCATATTTCCCCATTGTATGAATAAGCTCTTTGAATTGCATAGCAATAAGGAACCATCTCTTCTTCCTTTTTCCCCCCCTCCTCTTCAAAACAGATGATCACTAAAGGTGCCTCACAAAAATCCACTCTGAAAACCTTTCACTTAAGTACTCCAATTCATGCCAGAGAATTCTCAGCTTACCAGAATTACTTTCTGTTATTTTCTGCAATCAACTTCTCAGTCTCAATCCACTCTTAAACCTAGCCATGCTAATTGGAATGCTACAACCAGGTGCTATTTCTTTTATTTCCCCATTCAAAAAGAGTTTGATTTGAACACTATTTGTAAGTAATACTATGCCTTTATATGGATCATATTTTAATATATATACTTCTCACTGACTCTGAAATAAAAGGTCTCAGTGAAAGTTATGCTTTATGTAAGAGCATCTAATAAAGACGAAGGCAAAAGCGAAGTACAAAGAAACTGAGAGTCTTAGGTCCCACACCAGAACTTTCAGAGATTAAATCAATGCATAAAATCAAAAATCTTAGAAATTACTTTATGACCAGTTACCTTCACACTATTACAATTAAGGCATAGAATTATTCATTCATGACAACTCAAATGAAAGCCTGGACCACACACTTAAAATCCTCCTCTGAGGAAGTTAGAAGCAATGAAGTTGTAGTGTAAAACTAAGCTTAAGTGAACTCCTGGAAGTCTCAGAAAGAAACCAAGTATATAAAAGAAAACCTAGCTTGCGTTGCCATGTAGGAGGTAAATCTAATCAATTCCAATCTGTGTGTAGGACACTTTTCAGGGTTTAAGGGAAAACAGTGACACAGAAACAGGACAGACACCTTACAGTGCAGGATATAGTAAAAAATCAACATAAGCATAGTTTTCTTTCTACACAAACTTTTTTTTAATATTTAGAACAGCAGACAAAAATCAAATATTTTAGGTATTTTTATTTCAGTTTGTCTTACTCTACTTCGGTTCCAGATGATTTCAAAGTTGTTAGCTAGACAAAGAAACTCCTCACCCAGGACCTTTGTCAGTATTAGAAAGGACTTCGCAAATGTCCAGCTTTATACACTACTTAGATGTGCCACCAGAAGCCTGTAAACAAGCTTGAGGACCAATATTTAACAAAATGGGAAAGCTAAAGTATTTTGCCCTCCATGGGCAAGTAGCAGATAATTTTGTGGTAAAGAACTGTGGAGCACACCTGAAGCAAATAGATGGGCTACAACAGTTAAATACATGATCAGAAAAACCTGCGCAAAGTACTCCTCTTTGAGGCATTTGAAAATTCTGACCTCATTAGGTCTTAAGCTAAAGCTGAGTTCTGCTGAAGTTAAGTATACTGCTTCCCTGAGACAGTGTTGATTTCAGTGAGACTGCTGGCAGCCAGTGCATTGAAACCTCACAATATCATGGTGGTCGCTTCTATCGAGTTCATTACACCTATCCCATACTTTAGGGGGAAAAAAAAAAAAGTCACTCTTCAGGCAGAAACAAGTAACCAGAGTAGTGGAAGTAATTACTTCCCCCGCCCCAATGACTAACTGAAAAGTTTCTGCATATTCTCTATTAATACAATTCTGTTTCTATCTCAAGCAAAGAAACCACTATATTTTACTTAGACTATAATAACAAAGTAATAACAAAGTCAGATAAGACAAGTTTTTGGGGGGGGTGGTTTCTTAGTTTGTTTTTAGGAAAGCAATAGAAGTATTTTCTATTATTTACTTTTTTTTTTTTTTAAACCACATATACTCTGGTTGTTGCACATTTGACTTGAAAAAGCAGTCAGCATCCTTGTTCAAGCTATGGGGAAACACTCTTATCAGCTCCTGAACTAGAAATGAGAAGTCTACACAGTTCATATTCACCTTACCCTGTAGATACTAGCCAAACACATCAATTCAACCCATTAAAAATAGAACAAGCTGATCCTACTTTAGACATCTACATTAATACCTTACAGATAAATGGAAGATGCACAGCTACCATTTCAGTGCAATCATCACTGCCTATGAACGCAAGGAAAGGTTACTTTGCAGGCAGCGAAAATTAGGAGTGGACACCAGTGCTTGAGGTATCAAGTAAAAGTCAAATAAGTTAAAGCTCTGAACGCTCCATTAACAGGTAAAACTTCTCTGCAACTGCCACTACAAGCCAACAGTACTAGCATCAGCAGCCCAAAAGTTTTCTCCTTCCTAACCACAATAAATCTGTAAATCTTCAGGAAAATAACTACATATATGCCAGCAGATGCAATCAACTCCCAAAGGATGAATCCTGTAAAAACATGTACTGAGAAGCAGCACACCAAGATGCATGCATTCTTTAAGCAGTAATATGCAGAAGCCATACTCTAAGAGTGGCATTTCTTACGTTACTATTTTGCAAGTTACCTGTGCAAAACCATGCTTTTAATGCATAACTGTTCTTGCTCTCCATCAGGCCCCAAATTAAAAGGCATGGGGAAGAAAACAGATATTATAGAGTTTCTCCACTACCCATTCTGCATATACCAGTTTCCTTTACACAATAATCTCTTCACAAAGCAGCTGTTCGGGCTAATTCATATC